AGTGTGTAATAAAAAGTTGTATCTTGAATGTAAAGTCATATAATTGTAATAGGAAAGTTTTTCCTGCCCTACCAAAGAAATACTAAAAAGTGTTTGAAAAAAATCTTATTTTAATAAGTATAAAAGCATTAATTTGCCTAGGGAACCCACACATCTTGGCCCCGTGATAGACATATAGGAGGGAATCAGAAATTCCAGATTGTGTTACTGCTATTAAGCTTGCCATCTCAGTGAATGACCATGTCCCATCCACTCGACAAAAGGCTAGAAATCATCTGTTCCTCACATCCAGTCCTTAACTATAGCATTTCTCTTCTGCTTCAAAGCTTCTCTTGGATCTGTCCCTTTACTCAAGCCTACTTCTATAACCCGATCGAGAGAAATTTTATTCTGTCTTAAATTAAAGCAACAGATTCCTGAGTTTCCAGCCTCATGTTTTCTGTCCTGCAAGTCTATATTTTTATTGCTGCAGTGTGATTAATCTTTCCAAAATGGAAATCTGATCATATCGCTCTTTTCATAAAACACTTTAACGGCTGGTCATCGCCCTCGGAATGAAGGGCAGACAGTCCATCACAGTTTACACACCCCTCATAAATCATTCCTCTAATTATCTTGTTAGCCTGGACTCTCTCCTGTTTTGCTCCAACCAATCTGAACTTCTGTAATCCTCCCATCACAGCATGTTCCCCAAGATTTCCATGCCTTTGCACATACTGTTCACTTTGCCTGGAACACACATCTCACTCCACCAGGTTTGAGGGGAGGGGTAAATGGAAATACATCGCTGCAGGGCTACTATATATTTTCCTTGAAGCAATTTGTAACTTTAAGTAGATTGTAATAAATTAAAGATCTATACCACAATCTCTAGAGCAACAAATAAAAATAATGTAAGAAAATATATAGGAAATTAAAGGAGAAATTTAAATTTAATATTAAAAAATAATTGATTAAAACAATCTATAATAATAAAAACATAATATGCAAATCGATCAAATGGCTGAATAGCAGAATGACCTTCTGGGTGAAGCCAGGCTGTGAAGGCCTACTCTTGCACAAATTTCATGCATCAGGCCTCTAGTAAGACAATAAAGGATATAGAAAGGAACAAAAAATTCAAGAAACAAATAAACAACATAATTCATTAAAGTGGCAAGATCTAATGAAATTATATTAGTAATTACACTTAGTTTAAATGGATAAAGCAGTGTTATAAAAGGCAAAGATTACAAAGATCCTTAGACTGATTCAGAAGCAAGAAGTAGCCACACGCTGTGTATAAGAGAAGCTCTTCACTACAAAGACAAATCTGTTGAAAGTAAAAGGATGGAAAAAGTATACCATGAAACCATGAAGCTTAAAACAGCCTGAATGGCTATCTCAATCATTCAAAATGACCTGAAGACAAGGAGTATTACCAGACACAGGATGGACTCCTTCCAGTGATAAAAGATCAACACATCAGGAATTAATCATGTGCTTAATAGTAGAGCTTCTACATGAAATAAAATACATGAAACAAAAATCTACAACACTTGGGGAAATATAGACAAATTCACCTTCATAGTTGTAGATTTTAACAGGTATCTCTCAGTAGTTGATAGAATAACTTTGAAAAAAGTTACTAAAGACTCGAAAAATCTAGACAACACAATCAGCCCTATTAATGACTTTTACAGGCCATTGCACCCCAAATAACAAATACATCTCTATTTTAAGTGCACATGGAATGGTCACTGAGATTGATTTCACACTGGTCCATGAAACACTCTCAATAGATTTTGAAAGATTGAAATTTTGAAGAGTATGTTCTCTGACCACAACAGAATTAAATTAGAAATAAGATTATAGGAAAGACTTAAATACTTAGAAATAAGGTAGGTAACTCAGTTCCCAAACCATCCATGATTCAAAATAGAAAGTACAAATTAGAAAAAATGTTTTGGCTAGAATAATTTTTAAAATATATTATATACAATATAATAAAACAATAAAAAATATAAATTATATATATAATTTATATATTTTATTGTTATATATATAAATAATATATATATTAAAATTTGTTAAATGCATGGGGGATAATTAAAATTTGTTAAATGCATGGGGGATAATTATAGTTTTAACAGCTTATACTAGAGAAAAAAAATAAATGATAGAAGATTCTGCCTTAGAAAAATAGAGTATACTAAACCCAGAAGAACCTGTACCAAACAACTGTGTATATGAATTACATTATTTCCTTATGGTACATTTCTAGGGGAAAAAAGGTTCATGAGATTTACTCACTTTTGGAGGTGATGGATATAATATTGTATAAACCGTTTTTGATGATTTCACAGATGTATATCTCCAAACTCGTTACATGCATTAAATATGTACAGCTTTTTATATGTCAATCATATCTCAATAAAGTGGTTATAACAAATGTCTACAAAGACAAAAAGTGACTCAAAGAGATTAAATATATCAATGTTAAACATGTTAAAGTCAATATATTAACTAACCTCATTGGTGATTCTGAAGTTCCAGATGATTGTACCAGTTTATATTCCTTCTCTCAGTTCTTGTTAATCCTGAGTAAAAATAATTATTGAACTTTGTCAATCTGACAGGCAAAAATGAATTGCCTGTTTAATTTGCATTTATTTGCTTACTAGTGGTTTTTTTTAAATCTTTTTACGATATTAACTGCTTTTAGTTTTTATTACATTCACCTCTTTTTCTTATTATTAAGAGCTATTTATTTAGTACTATCTTCAATCTATTATGAATCTAAAATATACTGTTTAGTTCAGCAATTGCCTTTGTGTGTATTGTTTATTTGCTCATCTGTTATTTTTTAAGTGCATAAAATTGAACAGGTGGGGTTTTCTTATGATTTCTATTTTTAGTCATAGTAAATGCATTTCAACACTATTATAAAATTATTGAGCTTTCTTCTTGTATTTTTATCCTAAATTTACCTGGAATTTATTTTATTAGAATTTATCTTAGTGAAGTTTATGTGCAACTTTTCCACTCAATATCTAGCCAAGTATACCCAATCATTTATATTTTTTCTCGCTGAATGAAAGTGCCACCTTTCACATACAGTGACTTTTCAAATATATTTAGATATAATTCCTGATGTTTCATTGACTGTATATTTTTGTATCACTATCATGCTGCTTTATTATAGTTTTATAAGTTATATTTAAATATCTTATAGGGTAAGTCTGTGTTTATTATCATTTTTAAAAGTTTGATTATTCTCATATTTATATTCTTCAAAATAAACTTTAGAATTTTTCAAGTCCAAAAAGTAATCTTGGTTAGATGTATATCTATCTAATATCAATCTTTCTATTAAAATAAATAGTGCATCCTCCTTTGATAAGCTTTGATTAGTTCTGTATGTTTCTTAAGTTTAGTCTAAGGAATTTGTGTGACTTTTTTTTCAGAGATTCTGTGACTGGAATTATTTTTTACAATAATATATTCTGCTTTATATAATCTGAAAAAACAATTAAATTTTATAACATGTTGATTTACTTAATTTTCCTATTTGTTAGTATTTTTAATTAATTTTCAAGGCAGACATTAATTTGATCTATAAACAATAGTTTTACCACATTACTTCAATAATTAGAACTCATATTCATATATAATTGATTTTGCTAGCACTTTCTGTATCTTTGCCTTGTTTTTACATTTTGGCAACATTTTCTAGTTGGTTATTCACCATTAAGATTGATCCTAGTTTTCATTTATGAATGATTTGTTGATGTAGAGCATTATACCTGCACATAGACAGAAACATATATGTTAACACTGTGATTGGAGACCTGTACTCTTATTAATTGCACTTTTACAATTCAAGAGTAGACACAGAAGCTTGTCAAATACCTTTTTATCTAAAAATATTGCTTTTTAGTTGTCACGCCTAAGGTAATGTGTTTGTGGTGAAGTGTATGCTGGGAACCTCCGGCTGAAAAGCACAGCTCAACAACCACTCTTGTGACTCATGTTTCCTTAAGTATCTGCAGTTACAACAAACTTCTGATCTCATCTGGTACCTCTTTGATTTCAGTTTACAGGCTCACTGGATTTGAACTTGAATATGAAAGAATGATAGCTCATTTATTATTTAAAAACATTTTTCTTAAAATTCTGACTCCCCCTCTTCTGTATTTAACCTCAAAACTGGAGAAAACATTTTCATCATCATCGCTCTGTTAGTGCCTTGTCTAATGATAAAGACAAAGAATGCACAGAGATTTTGAGGCTCTTTGTATCTCAAAAAAGAAAATCCTTTCATACATCAAAGTTACTAAATTCTGAAAGAATTATATCTTCTAATTAAAGGTTCTTTTTAAAGTTAAAGAAAACATTACATATATAAGGAAAAGTCCAAGCTCTTATACTGGATGTAGCCTTTCTTTTGTCTTTGACCCTATGGGCTGGTGTGTGGTATGGAGCTTCTGTTGGCTTCATTTCCAACACAGGACAGCATCCCAAACAGGAGAGGTGCAGACACTGGTGCACACTGAGCAGCTTTTCTCTTCGCCACTCCCTGTTTTAGATGAATTCAAATAGAGCCTTTTGTAGAATGTATGTGGCTTTGCCTCACAGTCTATGCTAGACAATGTATAGTCTCTGATCGTTTTCTTTTTTCTTTAGTTTCTTCATTGGTTATGGTATCACATCATTGCCGTCATCACCCCATTCCCATCTAATCGTTTTCAAATACTGTAATTGTCCTGCCTCTAGGGAGCTACTGTTATCATCCCCATCACCTCCCTGTTTCAACCAAGGAAAGCGGGATGCAGGGAGGTGAGACCCTTACCTGAGACCATGCAGCTCCTGTTGGAGGCTGTCTGCTTCCAGTTCAGCTCTGCATGATGCCCAGCCCTGCCTGTGCCTTTCCACTGGACTTCTGCCTCTTTGTTTCCCTTTCCCTTCCCCTGCGCTGACTCACCTTCTCCTCTCTCTCCTGCCGCTTCCCCTGCAGGCCAGTGACCAAGGCGCAGTCGAAGAGGGGGAGTCATGCTTCACACCGCCGCATCATGCTGGCAGCCGCTCCTGGGTCTGGCCGTGGCGTTCATCTTCGTGGGGTCCGCCCTCGGCTGCCCGGCCCGCTGTGAGTGCTCCGCCCAGAACAAGTCTGTCAGCTGCCACCGCCGGCGCCTGGTGGCCATCCCGGAGGGCATCCCCATCGAGACCAAAATCCTGGACCTCAGCAAGAACAGACTGAAAAGCGTCAACCCGGAGGAATTCATCTCGTACCCTCTGCTGGAGGAGATAGACCTGAGTGACAACATCATCGCCAACGTGGAGCCGGGAGCCTTCAGCAGCCTCTTCAACCTGCGTGCCCTCCGGCTCAAGGGCAACCGCCTCAAGCTGGTCCCCCTGGGGGTGTTCGCGGGGCTGTCCAACCTCACCAAGCTGGACATCAGCGAGAACAAGATCGTCATCCTCCTGGACTACATGTTCCAGGACTTGCATAACCTGAAGTCCCTGGAGGTGGGGGACAACGACCTGGTGTACATATCGCACAGGGCCTTCAGCGGGCTGCTGAGCCTGGAGCAGCTCACCCTGGAGAGGTGCAACCTCACCGCCGTGCCCACCGAGGCCCTCTCCCACCTCCATGGCCTCGTGAGCCTGCACCTGAAGCATCTCAACATCAACCACATGCCCGTGTATGCCTTCAAGAGACTGTTCCACCTGAAGCACCTGGAGATCGACTCCTGGCCTCTGCTGGACATGATGCCGGCCAACAGCCTCTACGGCCTCAACCTCACCTCCCTGGCCATCACCAACACCAACCTGTCCGCGGTGCCCTTCCTCGCCTTGAAGCACCTGGCCTACCTGACCCACCTGAACCTGTCCTACAACCCCATCAGCACCATCGAGGCAGGGATGTTCTCCGACCTGATCCGCCTTCAGGAGCTGCACATCGTGGGGGCCCAGCTCCGCGCCATCGAGCCCCACGCCTTCCAAGGGCTCCGCTTCCTTCGCGTGCTCAACGTGTCCCAGAACCTCCTGGAAACTCTGGAGGAGAACGCCTTCTCCTCCCCGAGGGCTCTGGAGGTGCTGAGCATCAACAACAACCCGCTGGCCTGCGACTGCCGCCTCCTGTGGATCCTGCAGCGGCACCCCACCCTGCAGTTCGGGGGCCAGCAGCCCATGTGCGCCGGCCCCGACACCATCCGGGAGCGCTCCTTCCAGGACTTCCACAGCACCGCCCTCTCCTTTTACTTCACCTGCAAAAAGCCCAAAATCCGGGAGAAGAAGCTGCAGCACCTGCTGGTGGACGAAGGGCAGACGGTCCAGCTGGAGTGCAGTGCGGACGGGGACCCCCAGCCTGGGATTTCCTGGGTGACGCCCCGAAGGCGGTTGGTCACCACCAAGTCCAATGGGAGAGCCACCGTGCTGGGTGACGGCACCTTGGAGATCCGCTTTGCCCAGGACCAGGACAGCGGGATGTACTTGTGCATCGCCAGCAACGCCGCTGGCAACGACACCTACACGGCCTCCCTGACGGTGAAAGGATTCGCTTCAGACCGCTTCCTTTATGCCAACAGGACCCCTATGTACATGACCGACTCTAACGACACCCTGTCCAATGGCACCAACGCCAACACCTTCTCTCTGGACCTCAAAACAATACTGGTGTCCACAGCCATGGGCTGTTTCACATTCCTGGGAGTGGTTTTGTTTTGTTTCCTCCTCCTTTTTGTATGGAGCCGGGGGAAAGGCAAGCACAAAAACAGCATCGACCTGGAGTATGTGCCCCGGAAAAACAACGGTGCTGTCGTGGAAGGGGAGGTGGCCGGACCCAGGAGGTTCAACATGAAAATGATCTGAGGGTCTACCACTCCCACCGGTCTGTGTCACTGTCCGTAACCAGTAGGACTGCCTGGCACAGCCGATCGCAAGGTGGAAAAGCAGCTCAGGGCAGCTGCCCCTGTGTCAGAGCAGGGTCTGTGGAAGCAGAAGGACTGTTTATGGGGACAGGACGCTCCATCTAGAGGCAGGCAGGCTGGCTGGTGTCAGAGCCCTTCACACAGTGAGATACTAGTTGTTTGCATTGCAAATGTTGGCATTCTGGGGGTCTCGGTAAGGAACCTGAACCTTGGCTCATGCTCATGGATGGTTATTCAGCATTTTCTACCACTGCAGAAACAAAAGAAAAAAATTAAAAGGAACAACCTACAATGTAGGATTTACATATTTAAAAAAAAAAAAGACACATTTGTCTAAAATATACTCTACCGAAAAATTTGTATCTATGATTATCCTTTATTAAACCCTTGCATCATACCATACTGTTGGTTTGACACAACAGAGAGATCAATATATTCTTTATTCTTCCTTTTTTTTTTGAAACATATATGCTGTATATGTTTTAAAGCAATATGAATGAGAGGTTGTGCTTTTAGTTACTCACCACTATAGATCCAAGAGTGATGTCACCTTCCTTTACACCCAGATAACTCTGAGACCAGATCCCCGGAGCTGTGTGGAAAGATGCATTTGTCTGATGTAGGATGCCAAGAAATAAGACCCAAGGCAAAAAACTGCTCAACTCTGTTAACTTCTGTTACTATAAATAAAGGCATGTGCCTAGTTTTGATACAGAATGGAATATTTTTTATACTTGTGATATCACACTGGACCAGTTTACTGTAACCAAGCCCTTGGTTTCTCCAGAAGCTGGTAGGCCACTAGTTGTAACTGTAAAATGAAGGTAGGTGGTAAGAATGAAAACAATCCATTCAATGACAACTTGGTATTTCTCCCATCGGTTGCTATTAATGGGTTAATAGGAAATGAAAGAGCATATAGTTATTATATATTATATTCATGGGTTAATATTAACCTCATAACTAAGATCAAGAATTCAGATGTTTCAAAGCTCTCTGGATAAGTTCTTTTCAGATGCCAACACAAACCATGGTGATCCATGCAGAACATGATGTTAATTCTACTAAGAGGCCCTTTAAAACATGATAGCTGTCTGAAGACTGGAGTGCTGCCAAAGGAAGCATCTAGCAGCTCTGATGTTGTCTATCCAAGTACTAGAGACAAAGTATTGCTTTGAATGGGTAACTTCAGGGTTTCTCCCTGCTTCCTTATTAAGTAGAGAATTGGTTCTTGTTTTGAAAATTATCCTGTGTAGACCAAAAGAAATCTGTCTTGTTTTTAAAGAAGTGGGGAAAACAAGGTGGATTAAAAAGTGCTTACCAATTTTCCCCCTCTGACCCAAGGATATTGCCAATTCAATTTTTTAAATGATTGTTACTCAAAGTTAAAATATTATAGTTTGTTTTTTAAAATGGTATCATGCCATTGCCACCAGTAATCTGGTTCAAGTAAGATATAGTGTAATTTGTTTAATGTTGAGTGAATGGATTTTCAAAATACATTCATATGACTTCAGAAAGCATTGGATATAGAGGGTATTTATGAATGTGATCTATTTAACAGCACAGAACAGAGAGGAAATTCCTACATTTCCCACATGTTGAAAGAGACCTGAAAATGAGCCCCCTTTTGGATAGCATATAAACTGGAATACAAGGTTTGCTTCTTCACATCAGATTGGGGCTTTGACATTCAAAATCTGGCATTTGCATTAATATTTAAAATCTTGAGTAACTAATAAAATTAAATTGCCTCAATAAAAAAGTGGCAGGTCCAGAAATTGTCTTGCCAATTGGCTAAACCCATTCTCCCTTAATAAACGGAGGAAAATGAGATAAAAATTGAAGACTTGCCTGTTTGAGTCATTTGTAATTTGACTTTCCTGAGAATTATCATAGATCTTTCAGAAATTAATTCTCCAATTTTGTAATTACTTTGTTTTATCTAACAATACAAAACAAGATCTGTTATAAATTCTAGCAAAATTCCAATTTCTGTGCAAAAGGAATGGATCTTTCAAATTTAAACAGAGACTAAAGATAAAGAAGGTAGAGAAACAATCTATCTTAATTTTTCAGTATTGCGTGGAGCAAATACTTAACTGTACAACAACAAAAACAAACATTGAACTATTAATTAAAGGGCTTTGTAATTTAATTGTTTTCAGTCAAAATTGATAATTTTTATGAAATTGGATTAAAGTGAATCTATCCTTGAAAACAATTAGTTTTTTTTTTTTTTTAAGTTAATTATTCCATTGGCAGAGGAGAGATTACACTCTCTCAAAGTTTCCATATTCCGGTCCATGGGAAAACAGCTACTAAGATATTAATAACCATTCTTCCAAAAAATAGTCCCAGAAGCTAAGTTGGAGAATGCTGCATTCTATAACCACCTCTTGGAAGTTCCAAATCCATGTGAGCCTCATAAATACTCCAAAAGTTCCTGTAAACAAGATTTCTCTTTAATGTTGTTTGTCTTGGGGTTTCTCTAACTTACTTGAGCATGGAGCACTTCTTTTCATGTCTTAACTGTTATCTGGAAAAACCAGTTCTGCAGAACCCACTTTGGTCAACATTAAACTAAAATATAGCATGTTTCTGAAATATTCCTAAACCCAATGTTCCTAACAAAAGAAAAATTGTGTATTTGAATTGGGCTCCAGTAGATTAAGAAAAAAACAAAAAATAAAACATACTTCTTGTTATATATGATCTGATTATATAAATGTACTGGCCAGATATTTCTAGGAGAACTTTCTGCCCGAAGCATCATAATCATGGATTTATAGGTAATTGCTCATTCAATTTTCTACTCTCTCACAGTTGGAGCAGATCTTAGGTTCCTTTATACATCTGCAAAGCTCTCATCTTGGGCTCCTCTGCCTGGAGTTTTGGGCTCTAGGATTCAGTTTCACAAAAGGAGCTTGCCCTCGTGACTTCAGATTACCTCTTTGTAAGATCTAACTAGGTCATGCAGAGATGAACAGCTCAGACCAGCACGTGGCCAAATTTTCCCGTTAGGAGCCATCTCTGAGTCATCTTCCCAGAGGATTTTTCTCTTAAGAAGTTGTTTAGCCCAGCATTTAGTACTTGGGCAACCAGATATTTGTCTGTGTATACTCAGCATTTCCAGAAAAGTATTCATTCTCTCTAGACATTAAATCTCTAGAAAGAAGAATTGCCTGATGGTCCGAAACAATTGACCCAGGCCCCAAAATGTCTGCAACCATCTTATGGTAACTCACCAAATGATGTGCTTATGTGTTGCTGGCAAGGGATTTCTCCTCTTGCAAATTCTCATGTTACTCACTTTTTAAAACCTCTTTCATTTTCATTGTGTTTATCATTGAGTTTTCTAAATATTCTCAAAGTTTGAAAATGCCAAGTATTGTATTGCCAAGACTGGTACTTCCTAGGTTCTGAGGACACCTGTCAGAACTCCAACTTTGTTCAACTTTCTAGAAAGTTTGCTCATTGCCAAACAGCTCCCCAGTAGAACAAAGACATTCAGAATTTGCTCTAAGGTGGATTCTTTTTTTCTTTGTTCTATCAAACTTTCTGTTCTCAGTTCTTAGAGGAGCTCAGAAATATAATAGAAAAATATTTAAATCGCATCTGCATTGAAGCCTGCCTTTTGTCATTTTCCAAGACTCAGGTAGGAGCAAAATATCTGTACAAAAGAGAAGAAAAATTGATCATGGAGAAGAGAAATTGAGTAGAGCCCCAAGTAAATTAACTTACCCTGACAGGGTCTCCCTTCATCTGCATGTCTGTCAAGACATTTGTTTTAACTGCAGGGACTGTGCTCAGAAGCTGTTCAACACAGAATGTGTCTTGGGGCTTTCTAGGAAAGAACAAAAATACATTATTTTCAGTTTTAGAAGGCTAAGAAGTAACAAAAGATATATCGAGAGTTTAAAGAAAGGTTGGAGGGAGACACTGGATCCATTTTAATTATATTCCCTTTATTACTAATTTTGATAGTTTTCTTCAAACTAAAGAAAAATCAGAGCTTATGTTCTTCTTTAACTTTCAGAGGAGTCTTTTATACCAGCAGTTCCCTGTGTCCTGCTCAACCTTATATAGCTCACATGAGCTATTCCACATGAATTTGTGGCATGTAAACCTAGTAACAAAACCTTTGGGACCAAAGCCATTCACTCTACATGGTAATTAGGCAAATATTTATCATCTTTGTTGCTGGGATTAAGGTATGAGATGCTCCCCATTAGACTATACATCATATGCCTGGTTATTTCCACTGGCTTTGCAACACTGGCTTTGGAAGTTCCATACTTTCTGACAAAAAATCCTTGATATTTTCTGATTGAAGAGTTTTGGAGCCTTTGTGTGTGGAAAGCCTTGAGGAATGAAATATTATCTGACTTGTTGATTTTAGAATTGCATCTTTAGGTTAGGCAATAGCTTCTTGGTACTTTAGCACACTTGACATGACTCTCTCAGTTACTCCTTCAGAAGCCATTCCCATTCTCAGTTACTCCTTCAAGAGCCTTTTCATTCTTACTCCAGAAAAAGTAGGACAACAGGGGAAGGACAACCTCATAGCTTAAGTCTACAAGGTCAAAATGATAGCCTTGACATTTGGACAACTTACCCAACAAAAACTGGGTCTAGGGCCATAAGTCTGGACTTATAAGGTGTTAGCCAAGTAAACTATGCTTTAAATGAACAATGATAGGTTTTCAAGTCTGAAGATGGTTTGTCTGTTTTGGGAGGAGTGAATGTAGCTGCAAATGTTCTAAAAAAAAAAAATGTGAGAGAATGAAAACTGCTTATCTTTTGTAAGCTTTTCAACAGATTGCCCAAAACAAAATACTTGCACTCTCCTCCCCACTCCCCTTCCCCCCTGCTCCCCCAAAAAGGCATGATTAAGAAGTTTGCAAAAAGTTTGGTTTTTTTAAACAGGCCTGGAGTTGATGTTCCTCTTTCAAAATATGGGAATCTGATCAAAACAAGCTTGCATGTGCCCCAGAGTTCCCTTCTCCTTTGCCAAATCCTTTAATGTCTCTTCCTCTCCCTGGAGGGCATCCTGAACAGGAGAAGGAAGACAGCAGAGACTACTCCCCCTCTTGAGACAGCCCAGAGAGAGCTGAGAGTTCTGGTGTCACCCACAGCTCCCTTTCCGGACACCACACTGCACTGCTCTCTCATTCCCCCTCTGCCTTACTCACCACTGTCGCCTTCCAGCTGCTGTGGTACCTCACCATGAACCCTCTCTCCAGGGATGTCTTCTTTCATTCCTACTCAGAAATTCTTGGATAATTGTTAGACTAGAAATTGCTTTAAAAATAAACCCTCCAGCCTATCTCACATAACACTTTTAAAGTGATTATGTGATTATTATTCACAAAATCACAAACTGACAGCAATCTACAGGTTAAGTGATATTCTCTCTCCCTTCCCTCTCTCTCCCTCTCTCTTTTTCTCTCACCCCTCTCTCTCCCTTCCTCCCTCTCCTAGAAGCAGGTGGATTAGTATAAATCCAGCCTTAAGAAGAAGCTTATTTATAGCCTTAGCAGAATGAGACAAGAGCTGGTACAATCAAGAGAGTCTGCATATTTTAAGCAAGTCTTTACTTTTAATATGCAAAATAGCCATTAGTCAACAACAAAAATGCAAATTTACTTTCCACTAAATTGGTTAACTATATTAATTCCAATGAAGTTTAAAAGATATCTTTCCATATTGAAAATGGGTCACAGTAGAAAAATTTGTGCCTATTCTACAAAGGCAAAAGGAAAAAAAGCAGAAATGTTGCCACGTTAACTTTCTTCATTTTGCTGCACACCTCCTATTCTAAATTGCTTTAATATCATCACTCTCCACTAAAAGATAATCAATATAATCTACAATACCATATAATTAACAAATAATGAGTAAACAAGATAAATTCAGTCTTGAAAAAAAAAAAAGAAGAAAAAAAGAAGTTCTCCCAATCTCTATAGCAACATGTGTCCAGCTACACATGGATTCATATACATATTTATGTGATAGTAAGAGATGGGAACTGAGTCATGGATCAGCATTGTTTAGAAAGTATTTGTATGGAAACATGTTCTTTTCCTCCCCAGTTATAAAATCAGGTATACCACACACATATGCACTATCTTTTTCTGTTTTTCACTTGGTGTGGAATGCCCCAATCATAACTGAAAAGTTATTGTTTATATATACATATATAAATATGTGGGGGAGGGTGGTATTTTTATGTGTTTAAAATGTAACTGTTTTAAAAGTTGATAAGCTTGAGCAAGATGGGGGAAAACAGAATGTGTCTATGTTTTTGTTTAATGTCTTTTACCAAAATCTATTTTGGGAACATCCCATGATTGAAAGTACTAAACCAACAAGCTACAAAACTTTTTTTTTAAATGCCTGTTATCTTGTTTTTATCTGCAAAATGTTAGTGCTAATGACAAAAGCATAATGATTTAGGTTTGCATCTCATTGATTAGTATTGATTTCTTATTGCAGGCATGTTTTTTAATATTTAAAAATAAGTTCTTATTAATATGTGAAATAAGTTAAAACAACAACAACAACAACAAAGGGCTTAAGCATCTGACATCTCAGTTAAATCCATTAGGGTATGATTAAGAAACGAAACATAAAAGACAATTGGAGTCACATGTTAGATGATAACTCCTTATTGAGAGAAATAAGTTATATGAACCTTATCAGAAACATTAAACATCTTTAGCACTGTTATTAGATCAAATAATCTCTAGTCAAAAAAGTAGGTCCAGGGAATCTAATATGTGTTGGTGGAAACCACTCAGAGAGGGATACAAGGCCAGGCTATCTGGTTCTAGGCAACATTTCCAAGGCCATGGTATGACGTGCTGGATATCCAAGTGTAGATAATATCAACCATACTATACAGACATTCTACTTTAATGAAGATAAATACTGTATCTCTTGCAAAGTTATTTCATATATATTTGACTTGGTTACATAAACTAATAATGATTATAGACATGACTTTAGGTATGAAATATATTTAAGAACTGAAGAGTTCAGCAAGCCATACATACAACATCATCACATCGTTTTCTGAGTTAGCTTCTACTCAACCAACTATCAGTGATTCAAGACACTGTGCAAAATAGAAAGGCACACACACAAAAGAGAAATATTGTATCTCATCTTCAGGCAAATTGGTAACAAGGGGTAGAGATGGTTTGTTAAGTATTAAAGAAGGGAAAAAATGAATATGTAAAACTACTTTTATTTAGTCTTTTTGTTGAAAATGAAGGTGCTCTCTCATCTTTTGTACTTAAAGGAATAGGCTTTAGGGAGATGAGCTGAGTTAGTGGTCATCCTATGGTACCATCTACACGCACACACATACACACATACACACACACACACACACACACACACACACACACACCATATCTTGCTAGATGCCTTCTAGTGAAAAGAGTATAGTGGAGGAGGAGGAGGAAGTGAAAAGCTGCAGGAATGGTATCTGGGAGCCCTACTGGTAAATGATCAGAAAGCCTGGATTCACCTCCAGGCAGCAGCATATACTTAAATTCTGAGACCTTTAGCAAGACATTCACAAAATTTCCCCTTAGCTATTCTTTAATTGCAAAATGAAGAGCTTGCTGCCAGAAGGGAGTTCCTTCCTGAAGACTTTCTGGTAATGTCAGAGTTGCTGGGGGAAGAGTCATGTTTGACAGTTTTATACTCTACTGAACTAGCATGGCTAAAGCCAAGAGAGTTCTCATGAGCACAGTTTGAATTTATTGAGTATATTCCTTTGCCAACAGATGCATCACAAGTTATATAAACTCACTGATCAGGGAGGTGTTTCTAGCACTCTGGGACTTGTTCTAAAACAAGGAGAAAAAGAAATGTACAATGAAGTCACATTTTTAAATGAAACTAAATTTGCATTTGACTCAGCAGCCTCACTCTGGCTCTGTGCTCATAGACACACGCTGGCCAAGTCTATGGCTGCTTCCTACCTGTGGGAGCCCATCATAGTTTTGTGTTCCTGGGGTTTTTGTTTGGTTTTATTTTGATTTTTGTTTCTTTCATCTCATTTTCATTGGTCACAAGCATAATGTTCCAACTAGCTGCCTGTTAATATTCCTGTGTCATTTGATGTAGTCAAAATAAAAGTTATGAATTTCTACCTATTCCCTTTAAGGCAGATACGTTTCTTTTGGAACCCAAGAGTCTTTTCCCAATTACCTCATTGTCAGACCTAAAACTCAGGACGTGAAGATTAATGTAGAATAAGGCCAAGTGAAAGAGGAAACAGAGAAACCTTAAAGGGATTCCTGATGAGAAATTCACCCAGGAATTCCACCACTGACTGATGGAAAATCTGAAAACATTGGTTTTGAAGGTTTGTCACTCTGGTGCCTTTCACCAATGCTTAAAACCAACCAAATGCAGAAATTATGATCTTCTATCAAAAAGATTGGATTAAGAAAGAAGTCCTTTAGGATAGCTACCCAGACATTGTTTCATTTCATAATACTTTAAACTGGGTAAATCAGAATGTCAGGACACATCAACAAATTTCTTTAAATAGCACATCTATGTTAATGCCACACACACATTTTACTCAGAACCATCTGAAGAAAGCAAAGGGAAAAGAAAAGGCAGGTGGAAAATATGTGGCTTACCTGTGGATGTTTACTGTTCTGTATGTCCACTAATAAAAAGAACAATACCAGAACTCAATCACAAGAAGTCAGAGACTGACAGATAAAAAACCAAGGAGAGTCTTCACAAAAACAACATACTACTCGATAGGTTACCTCTTTGCTGGAAAGACCTAAATCTTACATGTGATTGCAGAAGTAAAGTCTACATTGAATATATTAAATAATTTTGTTCACTGTCACATTGGGAAATAAATCTATTTATCAGACCCCACAGGGGTAACATTTATATGAGCCACATCTAACTGTAGCATCAATAATCATATTTTTCATCACAATTGATCAAGCATGCTGGTACCATAGCACAGAAAAAACTCACCACATTTAATCTCACCATGAGCTATTAGTTGGATGTACAAAAGAATAGATTACATCTCCTATATACATTCATGGCTGGCACAGAATAAGAAAACACTTTTGTAAGTGCACACACAAATCCATACCATGGCATCCAGAGTTTTGTTAAGCCTATCAGTTGAAACATCATATGAGGATTTAATTCACTAAGTACCGAAGAAGTGTGCAATGCAGAGAGATTACAAGTCAGCTCAACCATCCTGACTTCTACAAGCTTTTCTATTTGGCAACACCCAAAGAATTTGGCCACCTCCATTTTAGTAGTCTCAAAAGCCTTCCTTGTCCCTGAATAAGAAATTTTCTGGTATTGACAAGGGACTGGTTTAAATACATGGCAGCTGTTTTCTGTCGTGAGTCTTTGGACAGAAAAAAAAGGGGGGGGGTTACCAAAATGGAAAGTACTTCAAAAGTTGGTGAGTCAACAGAAGAGTGATTCGTTGTTTTAATTCAATGTATTTTCTTTTTAAAATATATTTTTATTGATTTCGGAGAGGAAGAGAAAGGGAGAAATAGAAACATCAATAATGAGAGAGAATCATTGATCAGTTGCTTCCTACATGCCCCACAATGAGGGTTGAGCCCACCACCCAGGCATGTGCTCTGACTGGGAATCAAACCATGACCTCCTAATTCATAGGTCAATGCTTTACCACTGAGCTATACTAGAATTTGTTTTCAATGTATTTTCAAATTAGCGTTTGGTAACAACTGGAGAGCACACACTTTTCAAATGAATCTCAATGAGGACATAGGTATACATGAGAGAATTTCATTTTGAAGATA